AAATACTGATTAAAACATAAAGCCAACACTGAAGAATATATACATTATTTAAATACTGTGTCCATTGTAATTTATTGTTAAATGATGCGTTCACCCCTAAATCCTATGTATTTTCTGTCATTTGGGTGCGGGTACATACGCGGAATGATGTGAGAGATGCCAAAAATAGTTTTGAGTTTACACTCATATATTCTTGTTTATTTCCTCATGGGTAGTGATTATCCCCGAATAGAACAAACACTCCACTGATGAACTCTCAAATTATCATAAAGTTATGTTTCCCAAACCATACGATTATGGAGAGGAAAACCATGCGAGACCTCAGATTTTGCACGTGCTTAATGTATTTCTCAGCAGGTAGCGCTCTTCTGTCATCAACATTATTAAACATTTTAATGTCAGATACTTACTTCTTTTTGGTTCCTCTTTGAGAAAACTTAAAGAGAAATACTTTTTTAAAAGTTTTTATGAAAAATATGTAATTGTTTATATCTTATACAACTTCTGAAAGATTCTTATGCTGTTATTTTGTGAAATTACCAAGCAAGCATTTGCTCCTTTAAAAAAATTGAGCTCAAACTTTCAGAGACTGGTAATATGTTTTTAAATATCAGTGCAATTAAGTTACTTAGTGAACTTTAAGATTAAAATTGTATGTAAATATATACATTAAACATGATGAGGGGATAATTATGAGAATTCATATAATTTGATTTAATGATTCTCTAATTGTTTTTAATAAATATATTACTTAAGTTTTGCTGATAAGTTGAAGACCAAATTCATTAAAACCAAAGTGATTTTCTGAAAGTGAGCACAAACAATGGTTTGATCAAGCTTCACAACATTAATTCAAAATAAAACTTTCATCCTCATGAAATTATTCTCATGATCTCCAATTTCCTGGTTTCTTTTTACAAAACCTTTATCTTTGGATCTTTTCCTGTTTTGTTTTTTAAGCAATAACAAATCAAATTTCCCCAAAATTCAAAATTATACCATTAACTAGGCAATTATATAATTTTTATTTTTGTTAAATTCAAATAATCGATACTATAAAACTATGCTGGAAGTAACTTCATGATCAATCTACCTTTCTTCAATATACTGTAAGAATATTTTAGTAATATTTCAGTCATCTATACACACCAAATGTTAGTAAATTGCACTGAAAAAAAATCATAGTTATTTGTAAAGTTCCATGTGATTAAAACAAGTAAACAAAGCAGTATTGCTAAACTTAAGATTTTCTGAAGAGATATATGAACAGAGTCTAGGTTTTGTACTAAATCAAGACCAAATCTTTAGCATTGTCAGGTTATTTGCACAGATCTTCCCACATTGTTCAAATCATGCCCTCTATAGCCATTAGCCATAAATTAAAGCAAAATGTTTTATTGATGTGAGCATTTATGCAACAATGATTGGAGATAGCAAGCTTCAAAGTCTACTTTCTCCTTTGAGTTTCCTTGTCAACATCATGAAAAATAAATATCAATGTTTCCTTGTAGATAAGAAAACTGTGACACAAAGAGTCACAGAATCTGCTAAGATCAAGTTGAATGTTGCTAAACTCTGGTGATACTGTCCCAAGTTTGACTACTTGGTACAGAGCACGGTATCAGTCTTGAGTAATATTTTAAAGCAGGTCTTCTCTGTCTTAAAATATTGATACCAATAATACATGTAACAACAGGTTCTGAAGTGTACTTTTAATATTGAGGTATGAGAAGAGGGGATGCAGAAAAATAATTAGCAGTGAACTTTTCCTTGAGTGATTATATATGCTACTCGAAATGACTTACAGTAACACACACAATGGCATTTCATTTTCCAACACACTCTCTGAAACATCACATTTAGAATTCCCAATAGTTCACAAAGTATCATTCATTCTTTTCATAAATATTTTGATGTCGTCTACATGTAAAGGTTTCTTCATTGAGTGGCAAAAATTTCCCATTTCAAGGAAGACAATTAAGTGTCTATGAGTTGAATGACTCATACAAGATCTTATGATCAGTAATTCAAACATTTTGATATTTTGACTGTCAAAAACTATTTTTCTACACTATGGTGCATAACATGTTTGATACTGCAGCAAGTTGTCTCTCTCAATATATGCCATGTATAACTCACTGTGCTAAGCTAAACAGGAGAAAAATGCCAAAAAGACTGAGAACTATCCTGCTACTCATTATTCAGACTTCTGGGGAGGTAAGGTGGCTGGAACATTTCTAGCCTATATTTTTCTTCATGACTATGTTTTACCTTTCTATGTGGGATACTGTAAAATAGCAACATCTTGGCTTTCTGGAATTTGTAGCTTTTAAATGTAATAGGCAAAGGTCAATTACCAAAGGGTCTTCTCCAATTTCAGTAAAAATCAATTCTTACTTTTATGTTTTTTGATACAATTTGAACTTTATGTATAGTAACTTCAGTGTAAACCACAGGTATTAAGATCCAATATAAGGTAAGAATCCAGTAACAACTTTAGAATATTCAATTGGTGTTTAGATGGCCTGCACAAAAATTAACCAAGTAAAATTTTTACAATATTTTAAAATGTAAAGATTCAAGGTAAATCTCTTCCCTACTTGACATTCCATTTCTTATTAATGGAAAAAAGGCAACTGAACAGATTTCTAGATTCATTTTTAATTTTTATTCTGGTCCTTTATACTTGTCATTATATAATTCCATTTCTCTTTTCCTTCTGAGTCTCAAATGTAAGTGACAGCCAATAACACTTCATCTTACCCAACTGAACTTTTTATTAGGGAGAGAAGACATAGAATTATTAATTACTGTGTCAGTTACTGCTAAGATCTCTTGCATCCTGTTGTGGGAACAAAACAAATGACTATCAAGGCAAGAGATTGCTTTAATAAATGGGGATGTCCCCAAAAGAAGTGCTGATTTTCCTTTGGAGAAAGGCAAAATCAAAATGAAAGCTGTTTCCACTAGGTTTCCCAGTTACTTTATGTATGCATGTAAGTGTGTGTGTGTGTGTGTGTGTGTGTGTGTGTGTGTGTGTTTACTTATTTATTTATAGAATTGTAGTTTAGCATTTGCCTTGGCATTACATTTATTTGAAAAACTCTTTCTGAATGTCACAACATTTCCCCAGAGATAAGGGCTGGCAGGGACTTCCATATACTTTCATGAATAGGATAGAGTTCAGAAGAGTAAATTAGAGTTATTTATTTCAGTGACTAACTCTCTGAAGAGATTAGGGAAAGCTAAGTTTTATTTTGGTGGTTTTGCTACACAGAGAGAAAGTCTGCCCCCTAGGCCACTGAGAAGAGAACAGTGGCCATCCACTCACTGGTATGCATCCTGGGACACATTCCCTGATTTCATTTTATGCTCCACTGACCAGGGGAGTCCATCTCTGCTAATTAATTGACAACCAAAATAATAGTTTAACCACATGTTGTAACTCTCTTAAAACATGATTAAGTTTCCCACATAGTAATTTCACTTCCACATCTTTGAGACTAAAAAAAAAAATTTGGATCGTGTCGAGAACACATTTAGGAATCCAAATCAGTTGTAGATCTTTCTGCTGCTCAGAAGATCATTTCTGACCTATCTAGGACAAAAGAGCCCCCAAGGAGCTTAGTGACATAAATGCCTCTGCTCCTTTTCTGCTAAGCAAGCAGGTTCATTGCAAGTGGTGACTGACACTTAAGAATGATTGCTCCACGGAGGATAATTGCTACTCCCCAGCCAGTGCATCAGCTCACCAACAAGTACCCTTATAACAACGTCACAGTTTGTGTGTATGTGTGTGTGTCCATTGTGCATGTGTGTGTTAAAATTCAGGAAGATGGTGAGTGTGAAAATACGTTAGAAGTATTTTATTATCATTTCTACATGGCCTAGAAAATTAAAATAAAAGCCTCCTGAACTCCTGTCATTTTTCAATGGGACAAACGCTTTCTATAGCCTTTTTTATGGGTACACCGTCACATGTATTTGCATAGCTCTAAAAGTTGGTCCTTATAAGTCAACACTCTCCTCTGAACCGAATGTGCTCCTTGGAGTTAATCTAGTTCTTCTTCAAATGTCAAGCATAGGTTATAAATTTGTATAACTGCTTTTACTAAGTGAACCATTCTTATTAAAATGCTTATCAAGGTCACCATGAAAGATTGTAATGTTAAAGCTCCAAAAGAAGTTTCCAATAACAAGAATAAAGAGAAAGCAGATTTAGTTATCATTTTAATGTTTATAGCTTATTTAGAATCCATTGGCTCCTACCACTTTTTCAGTGACAAATGCATTTTGTAGAACTAGTAAGAATGTTTTCAAAACCCAGGTCTCCTAAAGAGACACAGTAAAGGGTCTCATTTTCTGCCTTCTAGTGGGCCTGCTTTAAGCAAGCAATCTTGAGATTTAAAAGGCTGGAGATTCTAGGTAAAATTTGTAGATAAAATTCTACAGGTGTAGATATGCTTTAATAGTTAGATTCAGAAATGGATCAGTGTTTTACGTGTCTCCAAGTGGCGTAACAATTTTTAACTATAAAAAATATACTAGGGTGTTTAATCCATCTCCGTTTCCAACTTTTTGAATCTTGCTTTAACCCAGCCACAGCCACTTTTAACTGCACTCATAAAGACCAAGAAACACCCTCTTGCAAAATACCAGTTCATACTAGATTTTTTAAAGAAAACCAAATATACAAGGATTCAAAAAGGTTTTGGCTACGCAATGGAAAAATATCAAACTAAAATGTCCATAATATTGTGTCAACTGTATATTTTTGTTACTATTGTCATATAAAGGACTTCAGAAAGGATAAAAAATATTAATTAGGCAAGATCTTTCTTAAGACCATGCTTTAGGACTAAACATATACAAATAAAACAAAATTGCTTGCTTTCTCCACCATCCAAGAAGAAAAATAATACTGTTAACACTCTGTCTGTTAAACCTTAGGAAAAGTCATGAGAGTTTTACACAAAAGAACTAGGAGTATTATCACTTACCTGATAGAGGTAGAGGAAAGAAGTCTTCTCAGTTTTCCTAAGGCAAGGTTTAGAGATCTCGTACTTCTTCTCACAAAGCTATTTCCAAAATATTTGCAATCCACTCAGGAACATTCTCCTTATTTCAAGATCGTGGGCCTTTGAGCGTTCCAGCCCCGGCTGCAGAGCCCATGATTTCTCCGGGCTTCTAAGAACTTCCACTTCACTCTTCTGCCTGCATCCCTCCCAGCCCCCTAAAGAAAATTTATTTGAAGTTGCTGCTAAGACTTTAACTGGAGCGTGTGCACTCAGAGCCCTGTACCTAGGTGCAGCCGGATGGGGAGGGTTATTTTTCGTCCAACAAGGAAGAGGACAGGACAGCCAGGGCTATTAGCAGGCACTGCCTTTTAGCAATGAGAAGTCGGGTATTCCACTGGCCCTGGCGACGACGGTGGCACCGAGGACAGCAGAGGTGGGTGCAGCAGCGCAGTTTGTTCTCTGTGGCTGCAGCTCTGTCCGGAGACGCTGTCCATTCCCTCCGGTGCTGAAGCCGGCAGCCAGAACCCAAACCTCGCTTTCCTCCACCAGCGGAGCCTCGCAGCTTTCTTGTCTTCCAGCCTGTGTTTTTCTCCTCTCGCGCTTTAATTTTTGTCAAGCGTCAATTCTCTGTCCAAAATAACCCACTCCCATGCTCATTTGTTGGCAGCGTTTCGGGAGCGGTGAGAATCCATGGGAAATAAGACCACAGCTTCTCCTGACTTTTCTGTGGCCCTGGACGAGTTTCCTAATGGTAGAAATGAAAGAGAACGCACGAACGCGCGCGCACACACGCGCACGAGAGAGAGAGAGAGAGAGAGAGAGAGAGAGAGAGAGAGAGAGAGAGAGAGAGAGAGAGAGAGAGGAGAACCATGGAAAATCCAGAGCTTCTTTGGAAAGCTCCCGGGTCTTCAATTACATAAGATGGAAACGGCTATTTTGGAAGACTCCAAAATCGTGCTTATCCATCAAAGAAACCGCATTTAAATTTTGAGAAGCCTTATCTGAAAACCGCAGATTAAACACAGGATAAATCCTTAAACCCTACCCACAGAAACGACAGGTTATTGTCAGAGCCTAAGAAGAGAAGGAAAGAATGGAAAAGAAAAGGGAGGAAGGCTTCTGAGCTCAGCTACCTTGCGAAATGCTGCTGAATTGGTTCAGATTTTAAAGCAGCTTAGAGGACCCTGCGGACCAGTTCCCGTGAGCGTCAGTGCGGGGCTCCTCTGGCCAGGGGAGCGAAGCATCCAGCCTGCATCCCCAGGGCAGAGCTCGCCAGGGGCTCTGGCCAGGCTCCCGCAGAGGGCGGGAAGCGCTTAGAAACAAGGGTAGGATTAAGAAAATGCATAAAGTCAGCGGGAGGGCTGGGTCTCTCCGAGGCCACCGCTTGGGTTTTCAGCTCATTTTAAGAGCCCCAGTCCCTTGGCTTCCCCACTCCGGAGTCTGATTCTTCCTCTGGTTCTACGCAGACCAGCACATCTGCCCGCGTCCCCACTCTGGGAAACTGACTGATACTGAGCAGACACGGAATAGGGTGGGTGGTCCTGAAGGCGGTCGCCTGGGCTCGCTGCTCACACAGGGCAACGCGTGCAGACGCGAGTGGAGTGAAAGGAGGAATAAACTATTTGGCATTGAAACTGTTAAAAAAAAAAATAAAAGTGAAATCGTGTTCAGGAAAACTCTCGATGCTCTTGTAGGACGCGAGGAAGAGGCACTAAGGAGGGGGATTCCCTTACCCAGCCAACCTCTTCGTCACCCAACTTGTGCAGTGCAGACTTCAGCACCCAGAGACTGGTGACAGACTCGAGAGGAAATTGGAGAAGGCCTGGGAAGGGCGCGGGCTGGGGATACGGACCCCAAAAACTGATGCCTCTCGGATACTGGAATGGGACCACGCCTGCTCTTGGCCTCCCTCCTTCCACGTTTCCACGGGGCCAGTCTGGAAGCACCTTTCAGGGTGGGCCGGTCCTGGGCGGAGAGGAGTCTGCGCGCGCTCCAAGGTGCGCGGTGCGCGTGGGGCAGGCGGGAGCGAGCGCGGCAGGGGAGGAGGCTGCTGCAGCCCGCGGGTTTCCAGGGGGTTCCTTAGAGGAGACGCGCCTTGCGTGGAGTTGGAATCACTACAGAAAGAAAACTCAACGGGCAGCTTATTTACTCACAGAAAGAGCAAGTGATTTTGCAGGACTTTGAGTCATTGCCTCAAGCAGCAGCAGCAGCAGCAGCAGCAGCAGCAGCAGCAGCAGCAGCAGCAGCAGCAGCAGCGTCTTCCTTTCCCTGGGGTGGTCACTGCACGCTCCCAGGCCCGGGCTGCAAGAGGCCCTGGTCAGCGCTGGACTCATTTCAGGCCGCGAACGCTGTGTGGAGCTGCGTACGCAGGAATGTTCCAGCTGAGGAGTCCGCTGTGAAGTTTGTCTAACAGACCTTTCCAGCAGGAGGGACAACGTTAAAGAAACGAATAGGAGTCCGCCTCAAATCTCATCTAGGGAAGCATCTGACCTCGCAGAGATGCACAAATCTAAAGAGACTGTTTGTCTCCGGAGGCGAATTTTGAAGGAGCTCTTTGTCTTCCCGTTCCTGTGAACACAGATTGCTCAGGATCCTAGTAAATGAAGATCCCCATTTTCCTCGGAAGACTGGGACAAGCGCGTGCTTCCTTTATCTATCAGAACAAGTACGCGTCCTCTGCACAAATAAGTTTCAGGAAACACCCAGGTTTTGTTAGAGGAGGAAAACAAGTCTCTTTGGTGAGGGCTACTTTATTTTGCCACCATCACGCTCTGTCAGAGGAGGTTTTTCTCTCTTGTATTCAGTTCTATGCTTTGAGTTAATTTGTTTAAATTATTTTCTCTGGTCATATAGGGGTATGAATCATTGCGGAAAAGCAACACGTCAAATAAAAGAAAATCACTCCAATGAGGCACAGAGTGCAAAGATGTTACTAATTAAAAACATATGCACTTGATTATTCAGTCTTAGAGGAACAGATTTTCTCTTCTTTCTGAACACTGATTGACACTAACTCCGAGTCCTTCCCGCCCCCCTTTCTCCTGCCAATGGAAGGAAAAAGAAACAGCTGATTAATTTGAGCTGTCAGAGCTAACAGATTATGTTAGTTTGATGTCTTTTCTTGAAGAAGCAAAATCTACTCCATATTTTTCCTCATCAAGTTGTGCAACCAGTTATGGAAATTAAGATGATGAACGTCAAATGCAGTCTAACATCAGATTCCACAAATGAATATAAATGAAGTATAAGGAAAAAAACAGGAGACAGATAAACCAAGACTAATTGAAGAAGTATCCGAAGAATTTCGCCCTTGGATATTGGTGAAACAATCATTTTAAATATTTTATTCTCAATAGAACACAAGATATAATCTTCAACTAGTCCATACTTCACAGTTTAGGAATTTAAGAAACATTTGCTTGAGGCACTTTTTTGGAAAAAAATCTTAAGTCTACTGGGGTAGAGTTTACACTGCAATGCAAAATCTCCATAAAGCATTATGTAATGACCATTACACAGAAAATTCGAACACTGGCGGTATAACTTTCCTAAGTTTGCTATTGTGGGACATCTTTTAACCATGTGTATAATAATGCCATCACTTCTGCTAACTTCGTTAAATTATCATTCACAAAAAGTACATAACATTTTCACACATTCAATGTATTTCTACAGAAATAGGTAGTATCACCTGCGGAGTACCTTTTGCTCATTAGTTCTACACCTGCATTATAAGAATGACTATTTAATTATTTTTATCTTAAGGATAATAAGACAAAGCAGAACAGAATAAAGAAGATCACAGCAAAACAATGCAAATACAGGATTGTCAAAGTTCTTTTTTATTAAAATACATCTGTGCTTCACTTTATGTTTCACATTAGCAACACAACTATCTGAATACAATATAATTCTCCCGGTCACCCTCAATTCATGGATTCTATATCTTCAGTATAGTTTTCAGCTCATTTTTTTCATAGCCATCAAGTACAACTAAATATTGCTTACAAATTACTTCTGAAATGAAACAATCATCTTTAAAAATCTTTTGTAAAATGTCACTGATGTGTATTCCTTTGCTACCTTTGTATGTAAGAACTTTTAGACACATACCTTTTCTCAGCTAAAGCGCTCTTGATTTGCTGAATCATCATCAGCTAAGTTGAAGACTTTTGCATTCTGTGTGTTTGTATGCATTGTGCTCAGCTGACTTCAGTTACAGGCAAAGAGGTAGTTGGGAATTTGAAACCAACTGACCTCAAATTAACCGAAGCACAAAAGTCTAACAGATTTGTTTAATTTTCTGTTGTGGTTAGGGAGGAGGTAAAAAGTTGTAGCCAGAAAAATTTAGAAAATTGAGCACCAGTAACCACATGTACCCCTGAACCCGATGAAGGAGATATTCTTTTACACCATGGCTCCTTACATATGTTATATACTCCACCAACACACTTGAGCATGAATTCAGTTGACATAAAAGTGAATAACATACTTACCCTCTTATAGTCTATTTTTTCACTTTAAAGTGGAAGTAAAGCTAGGTGTGGTAGTTCATTTGAGAGGTAGAGGGAGGGGATCACAGTGAATTGAAGGCTGGCCTAAGTTATATAGTTTGTTCCAGATCAGCCTGAACTGCATAATGAGATTCTGTCTCAAAAAAAAAAAAAAAAAAAAAAAAAAAAAAAATATATATATATATATATATATATATATATATATGAAGTGGAAATAATGCACCCTATTAAATAGAGCTGTTGTACAGTACCTGGATCTAACACATAGAGTGCTCCACACAGAGCCAGAAGGTTTAGAGCATCTTTCCTTACCCTCTGGCAGGAACAGTGCCTCAGATAATTTATTATGTTGATGAACAGAGAATATTACTTTATTTAAAACAGAGGAATGTGATGGGTGTGGTTGCACATGCCTATAATTTCCACACTCAGGAGGCTGAGGCAGAAAGATCATTGAGAGCTCAGGTCCAGTCTGGGCTATAGAGGGAGTTCTTGGCCAACCTGAACTACGTTGCAAAACCCTGCTTCAAAAAGAAAGAGAGAAGGAAAGAAAGAAAAACAGAAAGACAGAAAGGAAGGAAGGGAGGAAAGAAGAAAGAAAGAAAGAAAGAAAGAAAGAAAGAAAGAAAGAAAGAAAGAAAGAAAGAAAGAAAGAAAAGAAAAAGCAGTACGGATACTGTTTCTACACAGTTGTATAGAAATTCCTTACACAGGAATCTAGTGTTACAGAAATGTCTTCACTTCATATCGCATCTCCTATGTATGGTGAATTGTTCATAACTGACAAAACAAAACAAAAAACTATCCTTAAATCATCTTCTGCCAGTTTTATCTAGATATAAGCAATATTTTAAGTTTAGTTGTATGCATTCCTTCCAATAAACATATATATATATATATATATATATATATATATTTCAGTCATTAATAGTTTCCTTCTCTAAAACAAAATATGCATCTATATCTGCCAATGAGCACACACTTGCATGCACACATGTGTGTATAAGTGTATATTTCTATTCATGTGTGCAAAGTTGTATGAATACTTATAAACAAAAATAAATATTACAGGAACAAATTCAGCTGGTGGCCAATTATTTCTAGCAGAAATCCTTTGTAAATATTTGTAGATGTCACATAACATATATGGGAAAACACTCTGGATTACCAATCCAGCTAAACTCTTCTCTGAACATTGGCTCCATCAAATAAATGCATCACTGCTCACCTTTTTAAGACTCATAATCAGTGAGTCATCTCAATATTTATTGTCATGCCAGAGAGCATCTAGAGGACTGTTAATGCAGGCTGTAAGAGAATTTACAAATGAACAAAGCATACAGGGAGGGGAAGGGTTTATTTAGATCACTGAGTAAGCCTTCAAGAGAAACAAGGAGTTTCCAAAAGAGGAATCTGAAGTCAAATTGAGAGCTTGAGATTTTCATAAGGGAACAAAGAAATGGGAAAGGGTCTGATCTGGCAAATACAAGTATACTAAAAATGCATTTTCCAGGTTTTTGTCACTTTTAGGAACATCTGTATTGAATCTAAACTGGTGCATCAAAGTTTCAAATTGTTAAGGACAAAGGCTGTTGAGGAATAGATAAGGAGATCTTCCTATTTTAACCTTTTTGCAAAATGTATAGCACAGCTCAGGAGAGAAAACGATAGCTTTTGTATTTAGTTTCAGCTTGTGCTATTTTTAGCCCTCATGAATGCAGTGCTATATGCAATCTAGTATGCTCTGGGCAGAAGTGTTGATAATGAGAATTTTAATCTCTGTCACCATATTTATGTTCCTGGCACCCATCATCTCTGTAGACTGGACTAGGACTGCTATTTCTGTTTCAGAGTTCATCCTGAATCCATCTAACTTCCTCTGCTACAAGTGTTTTGCTCCCAGTTTAAACTGCTAAGATTTATTTCCTGTACTAATTACTCCACTCATTTATTTATTTGTGCTACTTGGTTCTTGCACAGCAGTAAGTAAGGATTTTTCAGTACCTGGACCATGTTGTACCTTTGCTTAGCCCTGTCAGAGTTTCCTGGGGCAACATCTGGATTTGATTCTTGTTTATTAGTTTGTTTTTGGTTTCGGTGATCAAACTCACAATCTCAAGCTTGCCATCTAGGTGCGTGTGTCCCTGAGCTAAATCCCCTGCCAACCTGTCTAATTATTAGCTCTCTTTTTTGCTTGATCACCTATGTTGTACATCCTCACATTGGACTGTAGCATTTCATTCCCTAAATCTGACATACTACCTCCAGAACGTATAAAGATGAATCCACCTTTCTTTGTGATGTCAGTTCAAAGGTCTTACTTTTGCCACTTTTATGGATTCATTTATTCTCTTTATTGATCTATCAACCTGTTTTAATTTCTTCATAGCAAGCATCACAAACAAATTTTCAGTGCAAATTTTCCTTCTTATTTCTCGTCTTCCTCTATAATACATGATGAAATCTGGTTTCCAGTACATCACAAAGTTTGTATTTTGTCCAACTACTTAAAAACTGCCAGTTGAGTCTGGTGAGAATTCATTCTCACTCAGGTTTTTGGGACCGATAATGACTTAGTATCTTAGATATTCTTTCCAGAGTCCTCCTATGTAAATTTCAGAGAACAACACTATCATCCTAAATATAAAATCAGGCAGCTTTAATAAGAGACACATTTAAAAGTACTTATCTATATCTGTTTTTTAAAAAAAATGTTGAAGCAAAATGTAATTCCCAAGGCAGTTAATGAAAATATAAATTTGT